TTTAACTTGCATAACTTTATGATAAAAAAAAGATATGAATATATCGCGAAGTGCTATACTATCAACTGAAATACAAATGAGACTGAGTAAGCGTAAGTTAGATAGCCCACCATTTGTTAGCAACACTAATATTCAACTCATGCCATTAACATAAAAAGGAAAACTTCGTTTAACTAGAACCGCTGAATATTTACAGGTTAGTAATGAACAAATATTTTTGGTGACAGGTGCACAAAAAAACATTCATGTTTAACCATGGAAAAACTCCATTTAGTAAAAAAATTATTTTCTCTTTATTTTTCATAGGATGTTGTTATTAGGAACATTGACTGTATATTAACAGGAAAGACAAATTGAGTATCACTCATCTTGCAACATACATCATCATTCGTCGATTCAATTAATCTATATTCTACAGGGATTACAAATAGAGTAGTTAAGTTTGTTTATATTGAAAAATGAAACGAAAGACTCCATTCACCTCATCAGTAAAAAATAAATCTAAATCCGGATCAACACAACATACAGAAGATAGTTCATCACATGATCAGTTATCCAAGCAAGTAATGGAAGATAACTTAGATAAAAAGTCAGACGAAAAGGAAGTAGAAAAGAAACAAACTATTTGGGATCAAATTACTCGAAAACAATTTATATCGGCTATTAAGGAATTAGGATCCGATAAAAAACAACTTGAAATGGAAACATGGCGCTATAATGATTTCACCAGTTCGAAAGAATCTATTTGGGGCCGTTTGGTATCCAAATTGAAATTAAATCAAACAGAAAGGATACGTAAATCTTTGCATGATGTTTAGCGACGACATTGTCAAAAAAATTGCTGATGACCTGTCCGAAAGTCATCACGATTCTGTTGAAAAAGTTAATGAATCAGACAAAGAAAGTAAAGTCGAGCTTCTTTTACCGAAATTTGTGAATAGGTCTACAGCGTCTGATGAGTCTCCTCCACATCCACCGACTCGTTCGACAATTCAACAGGAATCGAAAACACCAAAAATAGTTCAGGCATCATTCATCTTCACGTCAAAAGACTGGAAAGATATTTACAACAGCACCACACGTGAAATGGAACCAGGTTGGACAGACATGATGTATGAGAAAGTCCGCTCACGTAACTTTAGTTGCACCTTAGCTTTCAAAAACCATCATGTTAGTCTTTAAGAGTCATGTAAAATGAATTCTTCTCTTTTTCTTTGTATAGACACGTGCAAGACGCCTTCATGTAAGCGCACATTTGAAGTTTTTATCAGAGATGAACCAACATACAGAGATAGTATCGTTGTTCAGATACAACCCGTTGGAGACGAAGACCACAGTGCAGATGAAAAGGCAGTAGCACGACATTTACCTGGAAGAACTAGCCTGGAACTTGGAAAGCCAGCAAATGCCATCCGATTCTTAAAAGTCTTCCAACAAAAGATTGAAAATGCTAATGAAGGAAGAGTGTGGGTGTGGCAGTGGCTGTGGGTATAGGTGTCGTTTTCAACCACACCCACATCCTGCACTTTTACCGATCATACACAGAGTAAAAACGTACTATTTTGGGATTTTCTCACCAATGGTTTCGCTTACGAGTGATCCAAGGTCACCATTAGACAGGGCTCGTCTAGTTGTACTTGGAACCGGGCTGAAACACTTGGACCACCTTCCTGGACGAATATGGGAAGGTTTTACTAAGTAGGTTTTGCTTTTCCCATAGGAAAAAGTGCAGTATTTTGGTTTTTTCTCATGATCAGTTTGGGTTACGGAAAATCCCATGTCACCATTAGATAGAGCTCGTCGAGATGTACTTGGAACCGGGCTGAAACACTTGGGCCACGTTCCTGGACGAATATGGGAAGGTTTTAGGGACCATAGGCATAGGGAAAAGGTACTATTTTGGGATTTTCTTGCCAGTGGTTTGGATTGCGAGTGATTCAAGGTCACCATTAGATAGAGCTCGTTGAGTTGTACTTGGAACCGGGCTGGAACACTTGGACCACGTTCCTGGACGAATATGGGAACGTTTTACTAAGTAGGTTTGCCTTTTCCCATAGAAAAAGTGGAGTATTTTGGATTTTTCTCAGGATTGGTTTGGGCTACGGAAGTTCCAAGGTTACCACTGGATAGAGCTCGTCGAGTTGTACTTGGAACCGGGCTGGAACACTTAGAGCACGCTCCTGAACGAATATGGGAAGGTTTTACTCGAATATGGAGCTAACTTCACCTACGTATTGATAGATGTCTTTTCAAAATGATCGACTATCTTGAAATATTACTGTAATTATAAATGAATAAGTAACGGTTATACGTCTATATTTATATATGTATTTGAACGAACAGATCACGTGCTATATTGATCTTGACGGTCAGATACAAATCATGTAAAAGAAGAAAAAAGAAGCTTGTCTGAACTTCAAGAAATTTTAAATATCTTGTGGTTCTTTCCAGACTCTTGTTTTCCTGATTAATTAGATAAGATTCTTGTCATCTTGAACTCCAGTCAAGATTCTTTTTGAGAGGAAAGGAAAAAGATTCTTGTCTGAACTTTAAAAAATTTTGAATGTCTTATAATTCTTGTCTGGTTCTTTTACTTCTGAGTAATCAGACAAGATCCTTTTCATCTTGAACTTCTGGTAAGAATCTTTTTTCATTCCTCTCGAAAGGCTTCTTGGCTGAATATTATGATTAAAAAGAATCTTGTCTGATAATCAAGAAAAACAAGAATCTGGAAAGAACGAAGTCAAGATCGTCGACTAGTGCTACTACTAGTTGTTGATAAGCTTCTTTATTAAATGTAAGAGCAAAAAGAATTTCTAAAGCAGGTTGTTGTACTTGAAGTGGTTTAAATTTAATATCTGTTGCACAACGAATAATTAATGGAAGACCATTTTGTTTTGTTAATTCATCTTTAATTTGATCATATTGAATTAAATCTAAACAAAAAAACAATATTTAAACATTAATAATTGAACAAATTCAAAAAAAAAAAGAAAAGTCATTTAAACTTACGTTTGAGACATCGAAGTAAATTATAAAATCTTAATGTTTGATTTGAATCATCAATAACTTTATTAAGAAATTTAATAAAAAGATCTGCAATGTTATCTGAAGTATCAATATTTTTTGTTTCTTGTTCAGTTGTTATTGATGAAAGAATTTTAAATGCATTTAATTGTATTTCATCATTTTCAAAATTCGTTAATTTTAATATTAATGAAATAATATGTTTATTTTGAATATATTTTTCTAATTGTTTTGATAATGTCATTGTATATAAATTAGGTATTATTGTTCCAATTAATGAATGTGATAATTTATTATTTATTTTATTATCAGATTGTATTATTGAATAAAGTATATTAATAAATGAATCAATAATTTGACAATAATAATCTAATATATCATTATCAAGAATAATAAATCGATTAAGTTGAATACTAAGTGTTAATAAAAAACAAATTTGACGTAAATTAATTATCATTCGATTATTCCATAAACGAAATAATGATGATTGTTGTATTAATCATTCAGTAAATGGACGAAGAAGTGATTGACGAATATCGATTAAACATTGTTTATGTTGTTTATCAGTTGAATGAGAATAAATATAATCTGTACATGTATTTAATAAAAATCTTTGTCTAACATCATCATTTTCTTGATTTAAAGATTGAAGAAATATTTCAATAAATAATGATGAACAAATACATTTAACGATATTATCAAATAAATAATATTTTTTATCATCAAAATTAATTCGTTCAAGACGTTGAATTGTTCGTAATAAATTATCAATACTTTTTATTTGAGGATCTTGTAAATATTTACCATTCATTGATAATTCTTTAAAAAATTGATTTATTTCATTGAGAAGAGTTTCATGAAAAATTAATTCTTTTAATATCGATATACTACTATCTGATATATGACTTGACATTTTTAGAACTAAATTCGAAATTGTTGCGAATATAAAACAAGACATGTCATCGAATTTTTCATCAAAACGCCAACGTTGTATAAGATCTAAATAATAATCACGTAAGATAAAAAAAGATACGATGATTAATTATAGTAGGATGGCATAAATTTTTTTCATTTGAATGAATTGCTAATTCTAGAAGTTTTTTCATAAATTGCTTATCTGATAATAAGTTATTATTTTCGTCGATTTTTCTTATAATAGAATCAAATGATTGTTTGATTTGTTCAATAGTCATTAATTCTCCTTGTTCTTGTAAATGAATAGATTGTTTTATAATATTTTCAAAATGAAATTATTTTTCCATTATTTTGTTTTCAATCTTTCATACACTATTTTGGTGATTAAGAAGAAGAAGAAAATTGAAATGAACTCTTTACGTTTTGTGAATGATTGTTACTTGTTCGATAAATCCTACATGTGAATATTATTAACGGTCTATTTTCTCTCTTTTCTTTTATTTTAAATGACCTATGGAAGAACATACAAAGAAGATCTGTAGATAATGGATATGTTCATAATTGACCACCGGTAAAAATAATACAAACAAATGAAAGAAGCCTTGTAGTAATTCGTGTCTTCAATTGTTCGTATTCGAATAAGTAAATGAATAATGCTGCTACTTAATACTATGTATTTATAGACTTAATTTTCGATTACTTTCATCTTTTATAATTCATTTCATGTAGGTATTTTTATATATTTCAAAAATTATCAATTCTATAAATGAGTCTCGAATGAATTTCTTAAATATTTATGAGAAATACTTGTTGAGAATCTGAAGCCATATATTATGTTGAGTACTCGAAGTCTGAAACAAACTAATCAGCTACATTGAGAAACCGAATGGTATAAAAAAGACCGAAAGTAAAAACGTCGAAGTTAATCGCACGTTTCTGTGCAACAGATAGAATTACATTCAAAATTTTTAAATAGATTTTGGAAATGTATTAGAATTGTTAACCTTATTATTGTGAACAATTTCCGTGTAGAGAGCACCTTAAAAAATTCCATAGGGATCATCTAAGAATTGAGTTTTAGTGTATCCAGCAAAATCTGCTGAGATTATACATTTACCCTAATGATGCCAGCATGCTTATAGATTAGACCCAAATGGAGTAAATATATAATCGAAAACTATTGCACAAAGAACATCTTATAAATAGGTATACTTCCAATATTTTGATATTCGAGTTTCACCAATAGATGCCGAAAGTGTTCAGCTAGAAATCTTGTGGAGAAAATTCTTTGAAAAAAGCAAAAATAAAAAAGTGATAGTCATTATACTAAAGCTCACTGATTTTGTCTATACATTTACCCCTGCTTACTCTATATCTTTATTCACTTTTATTTTTATGTTTTTCATTCATAATAAAAATGCATGGAATTAAGCAAAAATGCTAATTATCATTTAATTGAAAAAAAATTTAAGCGAAAAATATAATTCAAATATATCATCACTAAGGCGACCATTTCCAAAATATATATTTATTTTGTGCTCCTCTTTAATGGTGTTTTGCGAATTTAACGATATCTATTGATTAAAGGATCACCCAATAGAATCATTAATTATTTTAATCCGGTTGAACTATCCGATTGGGCTAGCTTCCACGACGTTCACGACGTCCACGACGTACAAATATAGTGGAACGCTTTTAAAACAATGGCGACTCTGTTTGAACACGCAACGATATGCAGCTCATCTTAATATTAAGCCTGATTTCATCATCTTTACACAAATAATTTTTCTCGTATTTGTAGATAAAAAAACCAAGCGAAAAGCATACAATAATGAGCGATGGTGATGGTGATCAAGAAAATTCAAAGACATTGGAAATTACTTTAATTCCAACAAAACTAGCATTAGATATCGCAAAAGAGAAAACACAACAACAACAAAATCAATTACTTATTATTGAAAAAGAAAAAGAATTACTTGTTGAACAAAACAGCAAACGAATGAAATTACCACATGGACCACCATCTTCATCATCATTTAGTGAAGAACAGAGTAGAGCAATAAATGAACATGGTTTTTTCAATCGGTATGCAAAATATATTAAGTCGTTCGAAATTAATTCTTTATTACATGATAATAATCACTTTAATGATAATGATGATCTTGATGATCAGTAAAAAATTGCATTGAAAACTATCGTCGTCTTACATCATCTTCTAATATGTTGGAAGCAGAAATTCAAAATGCATTTGATGAATTAATAGTTAGTTTATTAAGCATATTAAAAAAGGATACATCATTAAAATATTTACGAACATGTAAAAAACCATATCTAGAAGAGCGTGCTCCAGATTGTACTTTTATATACAAAAATGTGAATATTGATATTGATGAACAATGTGAATGTTTACAAGATGTTGCTGTTTGTCTTGGTGAAGTAAAATCGTCAAGCACTTCTATAACGGATACTGTTTCAATCGGACAATTGTTACTTTATTTGACTATTCTATTACGTAATCAAACTCGTGAAAGGATCTATGGTTTTTTAATAAATATTCAATATATAAGATTTTATTATGTTGAAAAGAAACCGTATTCGAATTTATATGATTTTTATCAAAGCAAATCTTTCAAATTATTTAATGATTTGTCTGAAACATCATCATCATCATCATCTGTCACTATGAAAACAACAAGTGAACAATCAAAAACAAGCTATATAAATGAACATACATGGAAAATATTTCTAAAATTTTTAACAATGAAAACAGAATTTTATCAATATACGGCGTTAAATATAAATCCAAATGATTATTTATATGATGATATATATAAAATACAACGAAAATTAGGAGACGGATTAACTTCAATGGTTTATTTATTACAGAAAAATAATAATAGTTATTCCGAAATTGGTCCAGGAAATCCTGTAATAAAAATTTCTAAAGGAAGTATATATTCAAGGTTATTCGAAAACGAAGTTAACATGATAAAACAATTAGAAAATTTGGATAACTTTCATTCATATTTTCAAAGTATTTATTGTTCATCGAAGGAAGGTAATATTTGTTTATTAATGTTTTTGTTAACGTTTTCAATATGTTCAAAGTCTATTGAGAAAAAAACCCAATAGAGAATTTTGTTTATTGTTCGGAGAATTGAGAAAAATATAAGGAAACAGAAGATTTTATAAGATACTGAAATTGTCAAAACTATAGTTCTTCAATCGAATTTGTTTCAATAAGAGTGAAAAGCAAAAAAAATTACTGATCATAATAAATTAATAACCAGAACATTACTTTTTTTTTCTTAGGAAATAGTTCGAGTAAAATAAATATTTTTTTTCTATTGGTAACATATAAAGTAAATATGAAGAGAAATATTGAAAAAATTAAATTAATTGAAAATAAAAGTTATTGTTTTCTTTTTTGTCCTTCTTGTGTTCAATTTTTATAGTTAATAAAACAAGAAAAACAAAAACTAGATAAGTTTATTTTCATCTGTATGTAAATACATATAAGAGTTAAAATCATAAGAGTCTACTTGAACTTCTAATTTGACATGAAAATATAGGATTTTTTCTGTTTTTAAGATGGTCATATACAGGGTAATCCAAAAGTAATTCAGCAGTCTTTGATTGCGAATAACTTCTAAATAAGAACAAGAACGAGAGCTTTGATTTATCATCATTCGAAAGAGGAGATGAAGACGCGTCTAGAAATGTATAATATAAGTTAACTTAACTTAGTTTTTTCAAGAATTTAAATCGATATTTTTGAAAGCGAACGTATTTCATAAGGTGACTACATGGAACTTTTTATGATTAGGTGTGCATTCGAATCTCTAGTCAGACACCTAGAAAACTATACCAAGGTCAGACTTGGAGAGTTACTTCTTTTGAAGTTTTACGTATTCTAGTAGATATTCTGAACCAATTATTCTATTAATTTTTATGAAAAAAAAAATCACTTTTGTACTTTTTTCTTATTTTATAAGAAATCTGTTTTCTGACATTCTTTTTTTTTGAAAATTGATAAAGAAAATTCTAGATAACATTATAGAAAAAATTTATACTATAAAATTCGATGCATCTTCATCTTCTCTTCCGATTATTGAAACCCACAGGTCTGTATTTAGTTCTTATGAAAATTTATTTGCAATCAAAGACTGTTAGATAATTTTTGGATTATCCTGTATATAGATTGAAGCGAAATATGAAATAAGAAGAATGATAACTAATAAAATTTTAACTAAAAAATAAAAGAAAATAAAAATCTATTATTTTTATTTCTTTCATCTATTTGAACAAGTGAAGTTTTTATATGTTCTTAATATGTTTGATAATTCATAATGAGTTGCAACGTATTTTCATTATGAATAAAATCGAAAAAAATTGGCTTTTTTCTTGTATGAGAATTCGTATGATTATGGAGAATGAATAGAAATTTAGTGATGTACAGGATTTTTTATAATGATATTTAATATAATTTTTTTTTTCATATAAACTATGGAAATCATAAAAAATAAAAGTTCGAGATAGATTAAATAAAAGAGTTTACAATTCTAAATAGACACATTCTAAAATATAGTCTAGTAAATAGTTGCACATCATCAAAATACAAATTCGATGAAAATGACTTGACTTTCTGTTTTCAATAAACTGTGAAGTTCTTTTAATACAAAAAAAACTTTTTCTTCAAATTTAATTTTTCTAAAATTGATCAGATTTTTTGTTTTACCTGATTTTTTTACGTTTTAAACACTTTTGTCATAGACATTAGTTCTTTTTCAAACTGATTACATTCTTGATTGTTAAATGCCATTATTCATTAATGTAGATTTAGGTTGAATTTAAAAATTCTTATTTGAGAATCGATCACAATGCTTGTTTTTGTTTCAAAATATAACGTGCGAAATTCTGCATAAAATTAGTAAATAGTCTGAATTGTTATGAGTAAAATGACTGTAATAAGAAAATCATTTTAAAATTATGTTTATCACTTTATCTTTTGGATATATATCTAAAATTATAATTGAGCAATTCTCGATGTTTTTATGTCCTTGTTTACAGAAAATAGCTAATAAAAAGAAGATATTGATCAATTTCATATTTAAAAAATCAATTTCAATTGAATGTATTTTTAAATGATTATGAATTTGTAATGATAAAAATTTCATATCGAACATCTTTATTTCACGATTATTAATAATAATATTTTATCTTCTTCATAATTTGTTTATTTTTATATTTAGATAAATTTATAATATTTTCAAAACCATTAAAACGTTTGGAATCATTAACATTAACTCACTCGCAACAACTTATTAATATCATTCAATATTTATATGATTCTTGTGTTCTTCATCGTGATTTACGTCCACAAAACTTAATGTATGATACAAGTCATCGACATTTAAAATTAATCGATTTTGGCTTTGCCACAATTTACCAAAAGAATGAAATGACAAAAAGATTACCAATTGAAGGAACAATTACATATGCTGGTCAAAAATTTCTAGATTATTATTCAAAATTATCATTTCAGTCATGTTTTGAACTACTCGATGATTATGAACAAACCTTTGATCTTCAATGTGCATTGAATGTCATAATGTATATGACAAATTCTAAAATTAAAAACGAAATAAATTCAATGAAACAATTTCTATCTACGAAAGAAAAAGCTTTAGCATCATTAGAATATTTGGAAAAACTTAAAAAGAATGATAGAAACTATTTCGATTTATTAGAATTAATAAACAAGTCAAAATCTGATGATTTTGCTCGTCTTAAATCTGCTGATATTAATGATATCAGAACTGTAATGAAAGAACTTTTTCCAAAAGAACAGAAGTAAATTAAGATCAACTTTGTAATCAAGCTTATATTTATGTTTATGTTATTGATGAAAAACTTATAGATAACTTTTTTTTTGACATTTTTTTTTCTTTATTTTTGTTATCTTATGTTTGATCTTGTTACACTTCATTTCAATGTAAATATAATAAACATGATTCATAGGAAAAAAAGACATATTTCATTGATTAATACATTAATTCTTTTTTTTTCTAGTTTTGAATTAAGAAATCGTAACGATTGTTTTATGCATTGATAAGATGGTCTTTTTTAAAGATTGACATACTTAATATCAGTGTAGAGATGAGAAAGATTTTGGACTGAAGAAATAACATGATCAAAATTAATCTCTTTTCAAAAGTATGAACAAATTCGACTATTATATTCATATATTTATTTTATCAATTTTATATGTATTTATTTACATTCATTTTATTCTTCTTCATTCAGATGAATTGAATAAAAATTTTATTCAAATTTTAGTTAAAAATTACTTAGTCGAAGTCGAATAGTAGAGAAGAACAGGAGAATAGAATTATATACATATATATATATATATATATTTCATTAAATATAGATCGTATGTTATAGCAAAATAAAAATAAACAACATTATTTGATTTAATGCAACTAATTTAATGAATGGATTAAAATAGGGGTGTGAGTGTGGGTGTGGGTGGGGTGTAGGTGTGGGTGTGGGTGGGTGTGGGTGTGGGTGTGGGTGTGAGTGTAAGGTGAGGGCGTGGATGTAGACGAAGAGAACATTCGCACCCACACCCACACCCTTCTTCTTCTCGTACTACAAAAACGTGGTATTTCTAGATATTGATATTCAGGGTTTTTGTCGATGAAGGTTTTTTCGATCAGCTCGCTTCCAATCGAAGTTCTTTCATGAAGAAAATATCAATTAAAGATGCATGAGGCTTTCATCACTTGCATCAGAACAATGCAAGTAGGTGTTGTGCCAATAGGCCTATAATCTTATTTGATATCTTTTCTTTGTCAGTGCGTTCTTGTATGATCAAGGGTACATAGTGCTCACAACGTGTTACTCTTATCTATCATTGATTGAACCTTGTTCTCTTTCTATTATAATGTGCTTCTCATTCTATATCATCAGTCACACTTATATTATGTGCATTGTTCTCACTTATGTATTCATACTCTATTGTTCATTTATATCTCTTCTCTCCTTGGCCTTGTCACTTGTGCACTCTTATATTGTAATCTCCTTGGCCTCATCATCTTTATTGTCATCATCTCTTATTCTACTTGTGTATATAAGCGTGTGCTATTTATGTAAACGAGGCGATTATATGATATGAAGGAATAGAATAAAGTGTAATACCATCAACACTAGTCTAACTTCTATCATTGATCGTCACATAACGATTAAATGATGAGAAGGGTTAGAATTAAGTGTATCATCACCGTCTCTCACCTTCACTAACATTGCTTCCACCCCCATCTTCATTTTTTCGTTACAGGTGTGCCAATATTTATTTTGTTACTTGCCATCTCATGGTTGGCTCACTCTTTTTTTTTCGGTGCAACTCAGGAATATGCGTCAACTTATCGATAAGAAACTGTTATCAATAGATAAGAGTATACTTTTAATGAAACGCACGAATAAAAGCAGATGCAAACAGGCTACTGTTTATTCACTTAGCTATGCAGAATTTCATCCTGGTCCTTGTGTTCCTCTGCTTGGAAGCATATCAAGTATGTTCAAACAATCAAGGTAAACAAACAACGATAATGTTTCTAAATATTAGACATATCGAGTGGTCAAGATTGACTGGCAGTATCAGTATTTTAACTATAATTTTTGTTCAGTTTATCGCTAAGAGTCAGATTTTATTTCCGAAGAACCGCCGTCAAATTCTCTACCTTCTCATATATGTACAACTTTCTAGTAGTTATTTCAGATGAACTTTTGGAATATAGATTGAGAAGATACAGAGAGTCTCATTTGCTAACGAATAATGCAAAAAAACGCACTTATGATTATCAGTATTTTTATTTTTCTGTTTTTCTCTATGCGCGCAAGATAGCATTGTTTTGAGACTGCTGGTATGAGATGAGAAAATTGGAAAAAAATTCATATTTTGGTCATCGAGATTGCCACCTGACTATCTCACATCCAAAAAACTATAGGAGACTCAATTTGATCAATGAAATACATCACGTAGTGGAGAACTGAGCGTATTGTTTGATTAAAAAACCAGTTCGATCACGCATAAAGAAGAAGAGATAAATATAACTACTCATAATCATGAGTTCATTTTTTCTTACATTACTCGTTAGCAAGTGAGACTTTCTGTATCTCCTTAATTGATATCCCAAAAGTTCATCTGAAATAACTGTTAGAAAATCATACATATATGAGAAGATAGAGAATTTGACGGCAGTTCATTCGAGATAAAATCTGGCTCTTAGCGATAAACTAAACAAACGTTGTAGTTAAAATACTGATACTGTCATTTAATCTGGACCACCCGATAAGACGAGTAGGTGTATCTTCCTCTATATGTTCAATGTGGGCAAGAAAATAGTCAAATTTGAAGCCAAGAGGTCCAAGGGCACATTAATTAGCGATCCCAGCACCGATGTGATACATCTGCGAAGAAAAACTTTGTGCTCAATTTATCAGGATGGCTGTCAATAGCAATCTATGGTAAAAGAGAATTTTTTCGCCCAATAATGCGCTTGTTTCACGGAGGTCTGAGTTTCAAACCATTATTTAAACAGACTAATAAGAGGCATCACAGCTCACTAGTATTCTTGAATGTTTTTGAAATGGCCGATTCAGATATAAATAGGCCAATCTGGCCTTATTTACTGAAGTGCTCGGGATATCACGATTTGTCTGCTTCTCGCTCAGCACCATGTATCAATACAAATAAGGTTTATCTATCTCAAAATGCAATGTATCTTTGCAGTTATCGGCTCGCAAGCGCAAAAGAGAACGCAGTCCAATGTCTGGAGTTCTGTAGGAAACATGACCCGATCTCGAGCTTTACATACCGCAACCTACATACTTAATGAAGAATCTGTCGTTCTTGCCGGAGGGTACGATACCAATACCAATGTTTTAAATGATGTTGACAAATTCCTTCGTTCGTGCAACTGTATTGTGGGATTCGGGCGCGGTCTGTCTTCTCCCCGTGCTGGAGCCAGTGCTGTCTGTGCCGATATTGATGACACGGCTCGCTGCTCTTCCTCTTTCCTCTTTCTCTCTCTATTGTTCTATCTGTGTCGTCTCTCTCCCTTTGTTTCTGTATCATATATAAGCGTGTGTTGAATGTGAAATAGACACACTCTGGATATGTGAAATAGCTGAATAAACATCATTGCCGAGAATGGCGAAAAGCTATTCAATCCAGTTTGTCGTTACATGGCGACTCTGGCAGACCTCGGTCATTACATCTCGACCCTAGTTGCTGAATCATTGCAAGTTCTGAATGGAAGTCAGGTCGTGTCAGAACCAATAACAATTCAACATCATGAACCACGACTAAAGATGTGCAGATGACACAATACACCATCATGCCGACTGGCATAGGCGACACTCTCTAAGTTCGTCACAACTGGCAACTATGGTTAATGAATCCTGAAAAATCTTCTCGAAGTTAGTCTTTATCAACAACTACAACATTATGAAGGTGATTCAAGAAGTTAATCGAAGCGCAGCGGCTAATCAACTACTGTGCAGTGTGTGAAGTAGCAAGTATTAATTCAATTAATATAATGATGAACCTCCTCAACGGTTTGGACGACGGCGGCCTCCGGTGGACAAGCGTTGGCAGGAATTTTTATGAAAAACAGAAGCAATTATATGAACAAAAGAAATTGATAAGTAAATATTTGAATAGCTGCGAGAACGACCCAGCCGACCGAACAGTCGAGTCATCCGTGAGAAGAATGACATGGAAGTGGTCCACTTCTACTGCGTGGCGACGCATTATATTAGCAGAAGTTATATACCGGCTATATAACACATGAAATTAGAAAAAATTAGTCGTTAACAACATCTGAAGCGCAATTGAAAACATAAATTATTCGTCTCATCAACAAGGAAAAAGAAGAAAACAAACAAGGGTAGAAGAGGCTGAATTTTAATTGTATAACTGCCGCAAGCAATGTCATTTCATTTATCATCAATACACCATCTGCACGCAATCCAACTCATTATCTTATATATCCAACGTCGCATGAATGTCAGATAAACAAAACAAGCGGGAAAAAAAAGTCGATTATCTTTTAACTGATAAAAGTGATGAAACGTGTGAAAAAGTTTCTTTTCTTTCCATTGCCCAGAGGGTGCATAAATTTTTCTATTCTTTCGTACCGCGTTGATGCGTTACATTTGATTAGATTAAATAAGAAATGTGACAACTTTTCGTTTTTTTTGTGAAGAATTACTAGAAAATTGACTTTTGTGATATTATATTGATTTGTATAACTATTTAATGTATTCTTTGATTAGCGCTGTGATGCTCAGCTATTTGTTACTAATAATTTTTTTTAATGTGGTGTGCTAAGATACTCTGATTCTGGACTGGAAAAAGAAATTCTTTTAAACACTGCGTATACACTAGACTAAAGTCTCTATATGTAACTGTTCATTGCGTTTTTTTTTGTAAAGTGTCTGAAAAAAAAAGAAGATAATTCAAGCGATTGTTATTAGTGTTATTGATTGATATTGTTTATATCCGACTTTTTATTGTATGATAATGGTCAAAATGATCAACTTTTGATGTGTTCTGTTACGTTATTGTTTCTCTTCGCTACTTACCATTGTTTCATTTAATTTTTGGATATTGTAAAGACGCTCAGGAGCGCGTCTGATCTGAGTGGGAGGGTGTGCCGATATTGATGACACGGCTCGCTGCTCTTCCTCTTTCCTCTTTCTCTCTCTATTGTTCTATCTGTGTCGTCTCTCTCCCTTTGTTTCTGTATCATATATAAGCGTGTGTTGAATGTGAAATAGACACACTCTGGATATGTGAAATAGCTGAATAAACATCATTGCCGAGAATGGCGAAAAGCTATTCAATCCAGTTTGTCGTTACACTGTCCTTCTAAAAAATGGTGATATGTTGTTCATTGGAGGTTTGAGTGTCAGTGGTTATCCACATGTCAATGCTGAAATCTACAATCCAATTACAGATTCGGTCGGTGTCAGGGCTAAAATGCTTATACCGGTGAGTAATTGTTCTTCTGATGCGCCGTTTTTCTCCGGCTACGGGCGCGTGCTCTTGACAAGTGGCACTGAGACTGGTACTTCAGAAGCTACGGCACAAGGTCAAGTGTTCGATCAGACCTCATCTTCAATTGTTTTAGTTAATGGTACTATGAGTATTGGACGACAAAACCATGCTGTATCATTGTTTGAAAGTACATATCGTGTCCTTATCACGAGTGGGCAGAAAAATGATTCGTTCAGTACTACCACTAACTTGGCAGATCGCTACGATGAGGCCAGCAACACATTTGTTTCACTTTCTTCAAAGATGATTCGGAGCCGAACGCGACATACATCAACGTATATACCAAGCATCAATCAAGTCTTACTCTGCGGTGGGTATGACACTAACTCTCAAACAACGGCTACATGTGAACTTTTCGATCCAATGACAAGTACATTCAGTCTTCTTGAAGCACATATGAATGCGGATCGAGCCGATCATAGAGCTGTGTATTTGCCCGATTCGAAACGAGTTCTGATCGCTGGAGGACGAAGCTCATCCTCATCTCAGAGCTTGAGTTCGGTAGACCTGTTCGATCCTGTTTCTCGCACGTTCGCTCCTGCGGCCAGCATGCTGACAGCAAGAAATACACATACGCTGACGTTTTTCCCTCAAGGTATCGAGGAAACTGTACTTGTTTGTGGAGGATATCTGGATCAGCAATGTACGCAGACGACGGCAAGCTGTGAAATATATGTTGCTTGAACTATATCTTCTTCTACTACTACATTTCACTTTCATTTTTTGCAGTCTTGTAATCTTGAGTAGATGCTTATTTGATTATCTCATGATAATAATAGTGTTTGTGTTTCTACAGTTACTCTCGCTTGCCGGATAAAGCACGATTCAACTCTGTGGCAGATCAATATATCGTACAGAAACTATTTTGTTATGTTAGAAGTGACTGGGTATCATGACACTCATACCCCGGTAGAGTCCTTCAGACCTTTCGTGTTCTGGTATTCAGTTCTGTTTGTTGCCTTGTCTCAAACGTAACACGTGTACATGGTTTCAACTTATTTGCGTTCTTCCTCTCTTTCAGATTCATATGAGAGAATTCGAGTCGTACGCAAAAATTCTTAATTTCGAATCTGACTTATTCATTCGATTGCTCATCTCGAGAAACCTAGAAAACCAGAGTTTCAGACTTTTTGAACGTTTCTTTGACGAGATATAAATGATTGGAAAATTGGGTTTTGGGAAAACCAGCCATCTCATATTTGGCCTCCTAGTCAATCATTTGACGTTTGATTTCTTTTTTGGGTGTGGGCGTGGGCGTGGGTGTGTGGGTGAGGGTATAAATGAAGAGAAGATTGATGCTCATACCCACGCCCTAAATTTTGAATCGGTTCGTTTCGGTTCCAAAAAAATACGAACTCATCTCATCTCTGATGCCGACGATGAGCACATTTTGATGTGACACTGTTTCAAAAATTTTGATAAAATCTTCAAGATCTTCGACTACATAACACATCGTCATAAGGTTATTTGCATACGAGAACGTTAATATATGAAAAAGCCATTCTTAGAAAATGCAAGCTCCACACCATTAGCTATGGCTTTTTTGATATCAAAACTGTCTGATAATTCACCATTGATTCTAACCTTTATTTTTGTGCTCTTAAGCTGCAATGTTAACATATAAACAATTCTGTCAGTCAACTCTTCATAATAATTTTCGGTTGACTAAATCAGACGTTTTTGGAAGGTCAATATATTCTAAATAAAATGATCTGTTGTATTATCTACACTTTTCTGATACAAGTTTTGATTTCTTGATACAATTTTGAGATCATACGAGAGAAAAATTTGCTCAGCACTATTAATAGAAAGATATGAATTAAGTTAATAAAGTTATATTTTTACACTCAAACTATCGATTAAAGAAATAGTAAGCTGTAATTCGTGTGTGTGTGTTCTAAACTCCATTGAATTCTCATGTCAATTCTGTGACTGTTCTATCTAATATTCTACAATTCTTTGCCAAGACACATCTTCATGGGCAAAACTCAATTCAAATGCAATTTGATGAAATCTGCATAGGTTTCTAAATGAATAATTAGTGTTCACATACATATTCACCTATTCACTTATATAAATCTGTTTGATCTATTCATGATATCAATGTGTTAAAAATTTATCAAATGGTAAAAATTCGAAATTTGTCATTTTCTTCAATACATTGAATTCGATTAAAATAATAAGGATGAATTTGATGTAAAGTAGTTATATTACCAATTCTATTATCCTTGGTCAACATTTCTTTAACATAATAATCGAATTGAGACAAATGAGGCAGTCGTTTAATCAAGCCACGAGCTAGATCGATAAACAGCATAGGATATATTGTTTGTAAATATAAATATGCGATGTTAGGTGTATAAGTAAGAATATTGTCAATAATATTAAAACGTAATTTAGTATAATCACTCCAAAGAGTTAATCGTCGAGGTGGATGATTTCGTAGTGATGAGATCATTATTTTTGTACAGAATAGGAACTTGAAGATGATGAAGATTGGAACATGAAGCAAGAATGGTTGAAATATATGTAGCTTTACAAGACGAAAGGATTGATACAAACTTGAGAAAAGGTGACATAAGCCATGACTCATAATTAGATTCATCGATAGAACCTAAATTAACGTAACGAAGAGATGGAAATCGATTGGAGAAAATATCCCAAGTTAATTCCTGTGACAACGAGAATTTAGATCCACAAAATAACGATAGATGAGTCAGATTAGAAATGGCATTAGGTTGAATGTGTGCATGTTGTCTTGAACTTTTAATACACAATACTAGTTCATGTAAAGTAGAAAATTGACCAAAATTACAATAGCTATATGTCTGAATGATTAGACAACTAACGTAAGGTGCATATATTTTCAAGAATGGTATGTTAACATTCTTATCGAGCGTTAGAGATAAATTTTGACAGGATTGAAAAATATTGTTTAGTCGTGAATTGACTCTCCAAAAAGCTTTATATCAATGTTGAATGTCGATGAAACTGAATAGATAGTAAAATAATTCGTTTGGAAGTTCTTCAAGTGTAGCGTGTACATCTAAAATGTATCGAAAAAAATTAAAATTATTTTAATATTTAGTAAGATAAAAGGCAGTTATGTTTTAAAATTTTCATTTTTAAAAATTTGTTTTGATCAATTCTAATGAATGGAAAACGATTTTCTAAGGCGTCATACTAATAATAATGAAAAGGATTTTTGATTGTATAATGTTTAATACACCCACGTTCCATTCCAACGTTATTAGCAACAAACAAATGAATCCTGATTCACTTGCTTTTATGTGGAATTTGAGATAAGGGTGTGAGTGTGGATGGATGTGTATTGCAGGAAATGAGAATAACGACACCTACATCCTGAGAAGATACATAGCAGCTAGTATTCAAATTAGAAACAGTTATATGAATCGATTATCGGTATTATCTCAATTGAAATAATGTGAAGAACAGAGGTAGGTGAGAATAATTTTGAATGTGATGTGTTACATATGTTCAACAAGATCAAAACAGGAGAAAACGAAAAAAAATCTGCATCAACCTATAAAAAATACAAAAATCAAAACGCTCTACGAGTTGTTTTATGATTATTACGGACTTTATAGGTTCGAATGATGTTGAACATTTGTTTGGTTTGGTTTTGATTCTCTAAAAGCTTCTAGTTGTTGAGAATTTAATGATTTAATTCTCTCTAGAAAGTAAATACACGCTTATGATCAATTGAACAAATGTCAAAAATATAACTTCAAGGTTTTTTTTGAACGAATTCTCAATACGCTTTAATGAAATTTCTCTATACCTTTGACGATATTTTTAGTATATTTCTTTCTTTTTAATTCAATCAAATCACTGAATAAAATCTGTTGCATATATCACGTTTTAGATTGTTACTTACCATGCTCTTAAAATCACATTACTTGTGTCAAGTTTTCAAGTATTGGAAAAAAATCGTCGGTGAATCTCAATATCTATAACTGTCCCTATCGGCAAAACAATCACAGCATGCTGTTTTTCGTTCTAATTTTTTTGTTCAACATATCATTAGCATGATCACTTCTAGTAACAGCTTACGTGTAGATTTCACTAAATACATAGTAAATTTTTGTATATCACATCTTTGTAGATAGCGGATGAAATTCAGAATAACCCGCTATATTAAGTTTCATTTGATTCATATCCATTTTGTTGCTGAAAGTGCAGTAAGCTTTTTTAATCTTACTATTTATAGCATAACAAAGATAAAGAGCTTATAAGATATAATTGTCTTTCATTGTCAAATATAAGAACTTGTCACTGAACAAGATTTCCTTCAAATTTAGTATCTTTTTCGATGCGTAGCAATCTCAATTTTCGGGAATGAAGTCCGGAACTTACTGAAGATATAAAGAAAATTTCTATTGAAGAGTAAAAGAAAACTTTGTATTAACTTGAGACATCGATCGCTCTGACAAAATTCGAATGAGTTTCTAACGACTCAAAAGAAAACTGATTATATATATTTATTTATCAGAAATACAGAGCCACGTTTTACAATTATACATTGAATATTAAATAAAAGAGAAAAAAAACAATTTTCTTTGATTATAATTTATAAAAATTGACACTGTTTTTAGTCCGTATAGCCAATAGATTAGAACCAAACAGAACAGCATTCCAAGGTGATGGATTACATGGATATACAGATTTAATTTGTCCATCTTTTTTGATATGAAATAATTGTGAAGTATTGTTATCCACAACAAGCCATTCATCACATATTAATGAAGAACAACGTATTAATGGTTGACCAATTGTATGTGAAATATTAAGGTCAAGTAACCAAAGTCGATCGAGTGTTATTGATGAACGAAGTTCTAAATGTACAATACTAGTGGTAGAATGTGAAATAACTAAAGCAAGTGTTTTATTTTTATATGCAGTATTAAGTATAACTTCATAATGTTTACATGAATGTGGAGGTTTCCATCGTTTTATCAAAGCAAATGAAGATAAAAGATTAAATTCAAAAATATTTGTTCCTTCTCGACGTGCAGTTAAATAAAAAGATGTATCAGAACATGTACACGATGACCAATCTTGTTCTTCAATAGTTTGAACAAGTTCTGTTGCTAATGATTTTTCATTAACAAGATAAATTTCACGACTTCTAGTTGTTACAATAAAACAATTTAATGTTGATGACCAACACATATCACGAATAAAATCAAATTTCCATGGAGATTGTTTAATTATTTCAAATTTTTGATTAATTAAACATAAATTTGGATGTCGATCTATTAATAAGTATCGATTATTACTAGCAAGTACAGGTCCCCATTCACCTGCACAATCAATTGTTCGATAAGGTGTTGTAAGATTTACTAAATTACATTTATTTGGTTCAAATTCTTCAATAAAAATCAAACTATCATCTATTGTTAATGGACGAATTTCGAGTTGTAAACGTGTATTTTCAATAGTTTTTATTTCGTCCTGAATATGACGAATAGCTACTGTTATTGAATCAATATGTCCTTGATTGCTTTCTTGTTGACGTATGAGTTCTGTCATTTTTGAACGTATTTGATTTAATTGTGTTCGTTGTTCATCAAGTTTTTGTAAACAACGTTGATCAAGTTCATGATTTTTTTGTTCATATAATTGATTTATCATTTTACAACAATTATCACGCCATTGAACAAGTTTTTGACGACAATCACCAATTAATTTGTCTGTATTTGATGATTTGAGTTGTTCATCCAATTTATTAAATTCATTAATTAAAGGATTCAATTGAGGATTATTCAAATCATCATGTTCTTTTAAATGATCATGACAAAGACTTTTATTACAACATGAACATATCGAACGTGATTTACGTTTACATTTTTCTATGGCACATGTTCGAGGCATTATAATAACTAAAGAATTATAAAAGCGAAAATATTTTATATACAACCAGTTGCAAGTTATTATATAAAATAGAATAGATGAAGTATTATTTCAAGCTCACTAAACAAATATAAATTGTTCTATGCAGAAATCAACGAACGAATAGCGTCGCTTCTTAACTTACAGAAAAGAAAAAGGTAAATAAACATTGACAGCATACTTAATGAATCGGCTGAAATTTGTCTAGCATTGAATGATGTTGGAACAAAAAGGGTTGATTATATAAAGTGAGATTTTAAAAAATAACAAAAAATTTTAAAGCAAAATATACATTTAGAAAAAAAAATACTCATAAACATATTTGATTTTTTTTTCAAATCAGTAAAAAATGGAATAGGATTTCACATAGAAGAAACTGATCTTTTTTTCTTACACTTTATGTAAAATCATATATGTCAATATTTGCAAATGCCTTACTTATATTTCTTTGAATAATATCATACGACCTGGTATAACTCTATATTCAGTATTGAACATATCAGAATTGAAAGAACAATGATAAGATTTGATAATAAGCTCTAGTTACTTATGAACAAAAAAATTTGTCAAAATCTGCATTTGAACGCATTTTTTTTCTCCATATCTATTAGAACTTCTTTGCTAAAATTTCTAAAAAGTTCAAGAGATATATAACATAGTCAGTATTGTAAAAGTTGAAGAATAGTTCACATACAAATAATCCTTCTATTGATTTATTCTTAACCTTTTACTAGAGCGTAATGAATCACTTGAGTGTGTCAACTATACTTCATCTTTTGCAATATTGACTACAATAAATCGTCTTTGATATCTTCAGAATTATCAAGAAAGCAATTACTAAGAAACGTGTGATAGAATAGTTTGAATGTAATAAAATAATTGATATAAATTAAACGGATAGAAATAGTTTTTCGCAAGGAGAAAACGAAACGATAATATGGCTTTTGCTAACCTTCCAAAATGTAAATAGGGACAACCCATATAATTATCATGACAATCAGAGTATAGATGTGATATCCTCTTGTTAGTTTTAGAAATATATAATTTGATGTTTTAACCAAGCGATGTACATTGTATTTTCACTAGAATTTGCACTTTTCTTGGACTGAAATTCAATATCTCTGAGATATATGCGTATGTCTTGTTTATTTCTATGGGGCTATCTATCACATAGATAATTTTGAAGATTATAAAAGAACGACTAAGACTCACCAAAAAGAATCTGTTTATTTACAAGTGGAATCCAATGAAAATATTCTATATGTCTGCTTTCTTTCAACTCATATTTATTATAACACTGTAACTTCGTCATTGAGAGATAGAAGACATAAAAAGAGAAGAATAACAGATGAATATTTTTATAATCCATCAGTTTGATCGTTAAAGGAACAGAACATAATAAGATCTATAAAGAAACAAAAAGTGGGACAATAAACATGAAAGACGACTGTTATCGGTGCTAGCCATAAAAATTGTGTTTATCAAGAACGAAAAGCTATTCATAGTAAAGTACATTAATTGTCGAAAGAATAGATTATAAACATATTCAAGCTTTTATTGGCAACAAAACGACTAACATTTCTTGAAGGTCTTATACAAGAATTCAGTGATGAAAAAAACAGAAATTGGGCTAAAATTTGAGTTGAGTAGTGTGATAGCAATCAACAAACATGAATTGACTGTTTTCTCCTCAAAAATCATCTCTTTCAATAAATTGGAAATATGATAAATATAATGCCTAATTATAGATTAATAGGAATTCTATTAAGAATTGACATAAAAAATTAATTAACATAAAGTTGTTTTATTCATTTACGCTTATTTCCTTCTTTCACAATATTCAAATACAACCTACTGTACTATAGTCATATATTTATCTTGAGTACAGTCCTCTTTAAGCGATATATTTTTCACTGTGATATCACAACATGCTTGTCTTTATGCTAACAGATATAAGCAAATAGATTGGGACAATTATATGAAAAAAAAACATTAATTTAGTGTTATCCCTATTTCAAATTTATTGTCCAATAATGTATTGTAATTGTTGATATTAGAAGTGAACAAAGATTAATCGTACGTGAATATGATACTAACGTAAATGAATGTAAGATTATACTTCTTCAACTGAATATCACACTATTTTTTTATTTTGTCTTTAATTATAAGAATATGTTTTCGAAGCAAATCATATGTCGTCTCAATGTCATGATAATCTGCAGCAAGAGCAATACGATTAGATGAAAGTGTTGCTTCTTGTATTCTAAACGAACAACAGGCGAATTGATGGCGACTTGTTGATAAAAAAGAACTGATCAATACCATTCTCCATTAATTCAAATATATCAATTCCAATTACTTGACTACGATAAATTTTTCATACATTCACTTTTGATTTGTTTAGCAATATCAGAAATAAAGAATCGAGGACCAAATAATATGTCAAAATCTTGAAAACGCAATGCTTTATTTATCATTTGATAAAAACATGAATCAAGTACATACCACCAAATGGTGTTTTCTGCTATATTATTTTTCTTCAGCCTCATCGATAATGTTCATCTCCTGCAAACGCTATTAATCTAAAATATTTAAATGAATAAAGAAAAGAATACTATTCTGATAGAATTCACATTCATCACTTTTATCAAATATTTGAAAATGATTAATTACTTGACTGAGTTTTAAGATTATCTTCTGTTGAATTAAGATTTTGATCGAGCCATAAAATTGTGTACAACGTAAGATTAGAATTCATGAACTCGTCGATAGATTTTTTGTCTGGCAAATATAAATATGAAAAGTATTCTTCTCATGAATTTTCTTTTAATTGTGAAGTAGTATGTTGTTCCATGTGCTCACTTAAATTTACTATTGATGAATTATTTTTGTCTCTTTTCTTTGCACGACAATCGAAGAAGCATTCTCCACACACACATCGCGACAATCCTGACATAAACAAAGCGAGCCAAAAATAACAACATTCCATAGTTGTTTCGAAGAGAAGGGAGAATGTGTAATGACCAAGGTCAATCGTAAAAAATTAGAATTTTCAAGTCATGACGTGGATAATAGAAAAATTGATTATGAACACTTTAGCTAACCAAATACGTTTAGAAGAAATAGCTTTAGATAAAAAACAGATAGTAACAATGATTTTTACAAAAAATATTGAAAATTGATGCTCATTTCAAAAAAAGAGGGGTAGGAAGTTTTTTGGTAACTTTTGATCGACACACGATCAGGCATTCGTAATTTAAAAAAATCATATTTTTTTTACTTTTTCTATGTTAAAAGGGATCAACGTTCGATACCTTTTTTTTAAATTTGGTTGAAAAAACTTTAGAAAATATCTTAGAAGAACTTATAACATTCGGTTCTATCGAACGTCATTCAAAAACTACACATAATAGATCAACAAAAAAATTTTTAGATAAGGAAGAAATGTAATAATACATTTTATAAGATTGAAAGTAAATAGAATTTAATCAATTCGGTCACTTAGTTGAGATCACAAGGAGTTATGACTCATGTTGTATGTGTACAATGGCATGCAGAAATTTCAACGAATACCATTCGTGACGATGTATATTATCAAAGTACTGAACAATGTATTGATCTAAGTTTGAATTTTATGGTTACCGACGCTAAGGTGTCTTTTTCAACAACTGATGGATATCGTGTTGATGCTAAAAGTTTGATAGGCAAGGTCTTATATATCACATCATCTTACAATATGTTTTTCGCTTTTCTTGTGATTGTCAATCTATTCTCATACGCTGATAATAGTACTAGTAGTATTGTTCAAGTAGTACACCTTAAATCAGTGGTTCAATATAGTCATTGTTGTATTAGTTTTATATAATACGTTATACTCTTTTCAAACGTAATATTGTGTTTTCCAAATATATGTTGGTGTGTAACGTTTTAGAGAACCTTGTATGTTACCATGAAAATCAATTATCAGCATATTGTGTTACCTCACTTCCTCTTAAAGAACATACAGTCTGAACATGGATGATAAAATATTCTTATATAGACTAGAATTGGATTAAACAGCATTACTGCAAACAATTCTTGTTGGTTCAAATGTGTCATTTTGTATTTGTTTCTATTTGACCTAATACATCTCAAAAAATAGCGATAGAACTAATTGACCTTACATTTTTTTTCCTGTCATTAACAAAAAAAAACCTTTAATAGTTTCAGAAAGTCTTTAAATAATTTTTTCTGTGCAGAAGATATATCAGCTAATGAAAGTGTTTTATATATCTTCGGAAAACATAATAACAACTGAAACCATTTTAAACTTCTTTTTTAAGAAAATAATATCTTCCATTATTTATTAATAGATTATTGAAATCAATGGACAATATCCATGGACGGTCTTGAATTATGAAGCCGAGATGATATTTTACAAAGATGCATATGTCATCTTCTTCGTTTCAATGTTCTGTCATCGAGTGCGATATCTCCTGTTGAAGGATAGATGATAAGAAGAGAAGTTTTCTTTTTCTGTAAAGCATAAGTGACAAGCTGTATGTTTATCAACCAATTTATTATTTTATCATAAGGTGAGCAAGACATAAAATGTTGAAGAGGAAAATATTGAACAAAATTTTCTTGTTCTAGTACATTATAAAATAATGATCTCAATAAATGATGATGCCATAAAACGACTAGAAGCACGTAGTTATGATATTTTTCAAGAACCATTGACACCTCTCATACCTATTTGTATTCATGATCAAAAGACAAGTATTTCATTGGAAAAAGCAATTGAACCATTAATATCTATTTTGCCAAATCTTCAAACATTCGTCTTCATTGCTAAGGAAAAATGTGAAGATCCTGCTGATGGATTAACACAAGATGAATCTGCTTCAATAATGCTTTATTCAATGGATTGGCAACCAATGGAACAATGTTTATATTATGTTCTTAATGCAACACTTCGTTCAAATGATAGAGAAAAATTAAAA